GTACTATTCTCTAGTCTGGACTATCATATAATCTAAAGTCCGGCCTATTATCTAATATACTATAGTCCGGTGTGTATTTTACCTTATAGCTTGGACTATTGATTAGTTTACAAACTAGACTATTGTCTAGTCTATAGTTAGCACTATTCTATAGCCTAAAGTCTGGAATATTGTCCAGTCTATGGTCCAAACTATTATCTAGTCTATAGTTTAAGCGATTATCTAGTCCAGTCTATTGGTTGGACAATTGTATTTTCTACAGTCTGGATTACTCTCTAGTCTATAGTTCGAACTATTGTCGGGTCTATTGTCCGGACTATTGTCGAGTATATAGTCTGAACTATTATCGAGTCTATAGTTCGGACAATTGTCTAGTCTGGTCGATTATCTAGTCTATAGTTAGTACTATTCAATAGTCTAAAGTCTGGAATATTGTCCAGTCTATGGTCCAATCTATTATCTAGTCTGGAGTCTAGGCGATTATTTAGTCGAGTGTATTGGTTGGACAATTGTATTTTCTTTAGTCTGGATTACTCTCTAGTCTATAGTTCGAACTATTGTCGAGTCTATAGCCTGAACTACTGTCGAGTCTATAGTCCGGACAATTTCCTAGTTTATAGTCTGGTCGATTATCTAGTCTATAGTTAGTACTATTCTATAATCCAAAGTCTGGAATATTGTCCAGTCTATGGTCCAAACTATTGTCTAGTCATTAGTCTAGGCGATTATCTACTCGAGTCTATTGGTTGGACAATTGTATTTATTATAGTCTAGATTACATTCTAGTCTATAGTTCAAACTATTGTCGAGTCTATTGTCCGAATTATTGTTGAGTCTATAGTCTGAACTATTGTCAAGTCTATAATAGTCCGGACAATTGTCTAGTTTATAGGCTAGTCAATAGTCTGAACCACAATCTACTATGTAGTCTATACAGAATTCTACTATATAGTCTAGACTAGCCAATAGAACAGCCTTTTATCTAATCTATAGTGGCTCCTATAATCTACTCTATAGTCAGGACTATATTCTACACTATAGTCTGGACTATTACCTAGTTTAAAGGCTACACTATTGTCTGGTCTATAGTCTGGACGATTCTTCAATCACATATTTATAGATTAGATTTAATTTTGAACTTGCATAAATTTGGTTTTAAATTGACAAAAAATCCAAATAATTTAATTACATAACAAGTGTCACTGATGTTTGTTTATCATTTATATCAACATCATCATTGTCATCATGTTAATTTTATTTATCAGTTCATGAGTATACATATGTATTAATTACGTGTTAAAATATTATCTATGAAATTGATTATCTATGAATATATGTCTGTGACTAAATATATAAAATCATATGTATGTATCTCAATATATTTCCAACAGTTTTAAAATAAACAAAATATCCTTTGACATATTACAAGTTATAAACTGACGATGTTCACACGGAAAATTAAATTTCAAGTGAATCAGCTTATTCTTAATTGTCATTTTCATATCTGTATGAAATCTACAGTGTAGTCACTTAAATTTTAAAATGTAATATCAACTTAATTAATCTATGATATTGCTTTTGTAAAATCAATTAATTGATTCCAAAAGTTTGATAAAATCACTATTTAGTGCGGTATCGTTCTCTAAAACTGCTGGGTTTCTAAATATATGCATACAACTATTTGAAAGAAGTATGTAGATAGATATGTAGATACATATAATGTGTAATCCAATTGATTTTGCCTACTGAAATTGATGTTATATATTATCTACTGCAACTAAATATTTATATATATGTACATACATACATATGTACATTATTTACCTGTCAAACTACATGTGTCATTTGTATAGTATAATTTTTTTGTCTTTCTCCCCCAGTGTTTTGTTTTATTTTTATTTGATTAATTTGTTTTTATCTCATCAAATTATATGTTATTATATTGTTATTTGCGTATATTTAAATTATAATGTATTTGTTATTATTATTATTATTATTATTATTTTTTTTTTTGTAATTTTTCCAACAAATACTCGATATGTAATCAATTAAGTATGACACAAAACATATGTACACTTAAATACTTGTATTAAGTATGAATATTTAACTAGTTTTAGTTGTAACTAAATTGAATTTCTGCCGCTTGGAATAAAAAGATTTATATTGAAATTACGTTAAAATTAATGCCAACATTAAGTCCAAGTGATCGATAATTGGAATTTGTAGTTGAAATGTTGTCATATGTTTTAAAAAGATAGGGTTACATTATTTATTCATGATTATTATGAAATATTAGACTTTTCATTTTGTATTGGGAGTTTTATTAAATGAATTAATAAATTTGTTTTTCCGGGTCCTTTTAAAATTACATATCGTTAGCTTATTAGTCTACTTTTTCTGAAAATTAAGAATTTAATGGTGATAGATTTTACAACTAAAAAATGCCGTTATGTCAACTTGAATCATGTACATACATACTTTTTCTGTGCTAAGTCCTGTAAGCCGTTGTGCATTCTAGCTTCTAGACCCTACTAAAGCTCCAGGAACGGCACTCTGGGGCCTCGAAATAGTACTTGGCTTTAAAAAATAAGCTTACACGTGGAATTGAATATTGAAATTTAAAACTTTTGCCATGTACTTCTTTCTAAATATCGGAAGTAACTTTGAATCGATTTTACTCAGTTTTTTTATATTTTTATATAGCGCCATCCGAATTTGACCTATTTTTTCAACAATTTCAACTTTAGGTCAAATGTTTTAAAATCTGGAAACTGTAAAGCGAAACAAGGGGGAGTTTTGGAATTAATTTTGTGAAATTGCGGGATTCCCATTGACCCTTTGATATCATTTTACATTTTTCTCATTTCAATACTTGGTAGCCAGCAGTGTTGTAATGCGAAAAGCTTTTTCTCGGGTCAATTTGCTGCGAAACCCTTCCGCAATCGTTTATATTGAAAATTTCAGATTTTGTAAATATCGAAAACTTTGAAGCAATTGGCGCGGAAACTTTTTTGACCTGTGGAGGGTATTATGTATGCGTTTGTGCTAATGTTTGTAGCACCAACAGATATTGCTCAGATCCTACCACCTACCCACCTTAAAGTATACCTTTCGGCTCAGAATCACTTTCTGAGTCGATTTAGCTATGTCCGCCTATCTGTTCGTCTGACCGTCTGTGTGTCCATGTAAACCTTGTGAGCACTCCACAGGTCGCAATTTTCAAGATAATTTGATGAAATTTGAAAGATACTCTTTTTTTGACCTATTGAAAATGGTTAAAATCTGTCTATTTTTTCGTATAAACCCCATACAACCGTACCCCCCGAATAGGGCTTTTGAGCACGTAAATATGTTAAATCTTCTTGTATCACTTCAAAAATCGGCAAAACTACCTCTACCAAGATTTATAAGGATATGACCATATTAAACCCCCGCCTCCATACAACCCCTCTTTCAGGAAATCCCTTTTTTGTCAACAAATTATTAAAATAATTCTGAATTAAGGTAAAAATGAAATTAAATACTTTATTATTAAAAAAAATCAAAATTTGCAACATGATCACTGGTGTAGGGTATCTATACATTCATACTTGTTATACTATATGTAAAATTGATTTAAACTTGAATGATTTTCGGAAAAAGGCGTTCTATAGTTAATATTAGAATCAGTCGAATCTCAAAGCTATTCTGAACATTTTAAGCCAGGTATGAACGCAAAGGCATTTTCCAAAGGGAAACTCTTATAGGGGTCAAATTTGACCCGATGTTGATCATAATATGCAGAATAATTTCTAGCTACATAAAACTAACTCTGTATATTCTGATTTCACTTAGCGCGCATTTTTAAGAGAGATACATACATACATACATATGTAGGTAAAATCGTGGACTAATGGAGCATATTTTGGAATAAATATATCTACTTAGGTCCATTCTCATCTGGTCCTATCGTGCCTTCAAAATACTTTTTAGAATCTGATAAGATTTTAAATTAAATTTGACTTGTAAAAAGTACTGAAAGAATACTGCTTTAAAAAGCCTACGGACACAATTTAACAAAATTCAGATACTTCTTTAAATTGTTTTGCGTCACACTAGGTTTTTAAAACATCTCGAATCCGTCAAAAACTCCGGTTTCTTTAAATCTTGATGGAGAAATTTGGTCTCACATTTTAAAATTTTTTGGTCTGTGTTAATTATCACTTGAAATGTAATATCCAGATAATGTACATAATTTTACAGCCCTGCAATAGCTCATGGTTTAGACAAGAACCATACGGCTTTACACAATTTGACATACAGATGGCGCTAATCTAAAGAGGAAGTGGATTACAATTATTAAATTAATAATATGAAAATTAAAAAATTATAACAGAAATATGTATACAGATATGTAGGAAAATTAAATTAATAATATTAATTTAATTTTCCTACATTTCTGTATATTTCTGTTATAATTTTTAAATTTTCAAAATTGGCCTAATCATATCAATTTTGATTTAAAGCTGCTGAAAAGAACAAACAACTTTCTGCAACTGTACTAAAGAAGATGTATATGCACCTATATTATCTATAGTATCCCTAGAACTAGATGACAAATAGAAACAAAAACAATAGATTTATAAAGAATTAGTGATTAATATGTATAACTATTCCAAAATAAAAATAAGATTTCAAATAACCAAATTTTGCAAATAAACTAAAATTATCATTTGTCTAAAACATCTATTATATTCAGCACTATATTACCTTTACAACAAGATATAAAACAATAAAATCGGATAAAAAATCGCTAAGTTATAAGCATTTTTCACAGGCCTTAACGTATTAAAAAATAGCTTCGTTTGTTTTTCTTTTTCTTCTTTTATTGTGAACCCCTCTAGTGTTGACATTAGAGCAGCATTAACTAATGCTAACAAGAAGAAGACTACGAAAGTATAACGCTAAACACACCACTAAAGTACAAAGAAATAAAGAAAAGAGAAAAAAAATATTAGCAGCAGTTTGACATGTTTTACCTACAAAAATAGTACAACGAAAATAACAATAAAGCAAAAAACAGGAAAAAAAATTGAAGAAAAAAACAAATAAAGCAAAAAAATATTTCAATAGTCAAACTAATTTCAGACGTAATAGCAGAGAAAAAGAAGCAACTAAATAAAATACAATTATTATTGTGTTATCATCTAAAAAAATAAAAAAAAAACACAAAAAGACTGCAATTATTGTTAAAAAAAAAAGAAAACAAAGTAACAACAACTAAAATAATTCTTCTTTATAATAATTCTATTAGAAATCATAAATCTAGTTTATAATACAACAAAAACAACATATAAAACAATAGCAAATAAAATTATAAGCTGATTATTAAACAGTATACGTTTTATAAATATTATTAAAAAAGGCAAAACTAAACAATAATAAATTACTAAATCATAGCTAAATAAATTATTAGCAACAACACTTCGAGTGTCAACAATTTGTTGGGAAAAAAAGGGAAAGGAACACAGTGCCGCATAAAAAACCTTGAGAAGAAAAATTTGGAAAATTAAAGAAAAATGTTTTAAATAAAACAAACAACCCCTGCAAACTTTAACAATTTCGAAAACAATTTAAAATTGTTTAACGATTTTCTTTTAATTATTCTATAACATTTCATCACTTGAAAATGTTGGGAAATTTCTGGGAAATATTTTTCATTTTCTCGCTGACTTCATTAGGTGGTTCGTTGGTGTTCAGGTAAGTTGAAAACAGAATAAAGTAGAAAATTGTAAGAAAAAGGGGATGCAGGCAGCCGGGTGATGCCAATAAACAAAAAATACAAAATTAATAAAAATCAAATTTTTTTTTAGAAATAAAAAGAAATATTAAAAACAGCTTTGTTTGTTATTTAAGAAAAAATTCTTAAATTTAATGAGGAATAACAAACAAATCATGAAATGTTATCATAAACATTAGGGTGGCTATCAAAAATCATATTTTGAATTTCGAACATAAGTTTTAATTTTGAAATAGTACTAACTTCTTGTAAAAGGTATTTTCTGGGTTTTGATTCGTCGTTTAAATTTGAATATCATTTTAAAGGATTTTAGGTGTTTTACTACAGACTTATCTTGTTAAACCTGTCAGGAGACTTCTATATACTAATCTATAGATTAATCTGAAGAATTGTTTATAGACTATTGTATTGTCTAGTTCATGGATTATTCTATTGACTAGCCTATGTACTATTATATTGTCTAGTCTATAGACTATTCTTTTATCCGACAAGCCTATGGACTAATCTATTTACTAATCTATAGACTAATGGATTATCGATTATAAGTTAAAGTCATTTCATTTTGGCAAGAATTCATGACAATTTTTTATATATGGAATTTGACAGCGTCGGTTCTGAGAGAGAATTGTTTTTATAAGGAGTTTGACTGCGTCGATTTTGAGAGTGAAATGTTATTATATGAAGTTTGACAGCTTCGGTTGCAACCTTATTAGTTGCGCAATTCACGGACTTGTCTATTTACTATCTATTATAACTAATTAGTTATAACTAATTTAGTAAATAGCTAATATATGGACTAATATATTGATGATTATATGGAGCAGTCTATTGACTACTCTAAGGACTAAACTATTGATCAATCTATTGGTTAGGGCGAGTCTGTTAGCTAGTCTATTAACTAATTGACTAATTTAGTAAAAAGCTAATATATGGACTAATATATTGATGAGTATATGGAGCACTCTATTGACTACTGTAAGGACTAAACTATTGACCAATCTATAGGGCTAGTCTGTTAGCTAGTCTATTAACTAATTGACTAATTTAGTAAATAGCTAATATATTGATGAGTATATGGAGCAGTCTATTGACTACTCTAAGGAGTAAACTATTGACCAATCTATTGATTAGGGCTAGTCTGTTAGCTAGTCTATTAACTAGACAGTGGCTTGCTATGTTGACTAGACTGAAGATTAGTATATTGACTTGTTTATGTACTATTCTATTAACTAGTCTATGAACCAGTATATTTACTAATCTATGGACTATTCTTTGGTTTATCTGCCTAACATAGAGACTAGTACATGGACTAGTCTATTTAATAGTCTGTGGATTCATGGTGTATCGTTTATAAGATGAAATCATTTCATTTTGGCACAAATTCATGAAGTTTTTCATATATGGAGTTTGACAGCGTCGGTATTTCCTATTCTATGGACTATTCATTGGTTTATCTTCCTAGTCTAGGTTATAGTACATGAACTAGTCTATTTAATAGTCTATGGACTCATGGTATTCATTAGAAATTCTAGTCTGTTAGATATTCTGCTAACTAGACTATGAAGTACTCTGTCTAGATTAGTATATTGACTAGTCTGTTTACTATTCTTTGGACTAGTCTATTAACTAGTTAAATGACTAGTCTATTGACTAGATTATGAACTAGTGTATTGATAAGTATATGGGCCAGTCTGACTATACTAAAGACTAAACTATTGACTAATCTATGAACTATTGTATTGACTAGGCTGGGGACTTACCTGTTGCCTATTCTAATAACTAGACTATGGAATACTCTATGACTTGTTTATGAACTATTCTATTAACTAGGATATAGACTAGTCTATTAACTAATTTAGTGAACTATCCAAGTGATTTTCATAGTTATAACGATATATGGCAGGGTGGATTTATAAGATTCGTGGATATACATACATATAACATTTATGTCAAAGCCACCCTAGTAAGCCAAATGTTAAATTTAATAAATGTTTAATAATTGTATATAATTTATTTATATTGCGGGGTTTTTTATTTATTCTTATAATTATCATAATTTGCTGGAAATGAATTCAAATTATTAAGTGCAGTATTTTGGCCTTTTAGTATCAAATAATAGCTTTTGTCATTAAATTGAATGTTTTGAAAAATTTATTCAGTCTAACTAGGGGTCCGATTGCAAAACAAATGATGACAAATTTCTTATCACATTGCATTGATTCATACTCGTAAGAAGAACAAAGGCTGAAACTTTTCAGTTGCAAAAAAACATGCACCCTATTTCTAAACAAGGTTATATGTATGGTATTGTACTAAATCACAAGATCTGAAGATTTTTTTCGAACATAACCTCAAATTTTAAATTGATTTCAATTGTTCAAAGATGTTATTAGGTGTATTCATAAAGACCTATTGGAATTATGTGAATTGATTCAAAATTTACTTACAAATTTCGATACTTACGAACTAACATATGAAACCGCAATTTGTAAGAGATTTTGATTCAGTTCCTCTAGTCCTTTAAAAACAATAAAAGTTTAATTAAATTTGCAATATTTTCCTAAATTGAATAAATCTAAATTTAATCTCAACTTAATAACGATTTTCTTCTCCCTTTTAGCGCTTCCATTGATACTGATGATTTACCACCCGAAACCATTAGTCGCCTAAGAGAGATTAAACAAAATATATTCTTTTCGGATGAACTGACATCATCGGAATATCGTGATGATTTAGATATAGAATTGAGTCCACGCGAAAATGTTGAAGACCATGAATGGGATCTGCTGATTTTCACACAACAATGGCCCGTTACAACTTGTTATCACTGGAGAGAAGAAGATAAAAATCACGAATGTAAACTACCAAGTGAAAAAGAATTCTGGACTATACACGGAGTATGGCCCACAAAAATTGGACAATTTGGTCCTTCGTTCTGTAATAAAACCGCAGATTTCGATCCCAATGCATTGGAAAAAATCAAGGATAGTTTAAATGAATATTGGCCCGATATTGATGGTGAATCGAAGGGTGATTGGTTGTGGAAACATGAATGGCTTAAACATGGTACATGTGCCGCCACTCTAGAAGAATTGAACAATGAATTGAAATACTTTAAACAAGGCATTATTTGGCGTGAAGATTATTTGTTGTCGAATATTTTAGGTAGTGCTGGCATACATCCCGATTCGAATAACACTGTGGTGGCCTTACATGCAGCTCTGGTAAATGGTTTGGGTAAAAATCCTTCCATACACTGTTTGTATGACAGTAAAAATGATGTCAGTTATTTGGAAGAAATACGCATATGTTTCAATAAATCTCTCGATGTCATGGACTGTGATGGCGTTAAACATGGTGATGCTGTTTCGGTATCCTATCCCGGTGGCACTGTCATCACCAATTGTCACATATCAAAACCGGTACATTATCCCAGTCTGGTGCCGAATCGCAAAAGGCTTAACGAAAAGAAATGGAAATTTCCCATTGTCAATGTTTATAAGCTGTTACAGTTTATTATGTGGTTTACACTATGAATAGTAGATGAGGATCAGAAAAGCCCAGGAGCTTAAAAAAATGTATAACTATTTTTAGCGCAATCGAAGAGGCATAATACAAAATAAATAAAGGGAAAATTAAAACGCCAATTACTCAGTAATCACGTGCAAAAACAAAGTATTGAAAATTTTTATTTTTTTATATATTACGATTGATCAATTTGGATTGATTAAAAAAACACACAAGAAATGAATCAAGCGAAAACGAATTAATGAAAACTGTTTATTCAACAAGATATCAGCAACGATTATATGTAGCAACTTTAACATTAGAATTATTATGATTTCTTATCATTAACAATTATATTATTAACAATTCTAAACATTTACATAAATTTCAATAATTTTTCTTTGCAATTATCTTTATTTAATATACAACTTACACAATTATACATTATTTTAAGCTAAAACTAAATATTGCGATCAATTGATTATGAACACACACAAAAAAAAAAACATAAAATTATTGTTGTATTGTTTAATAAGAATATTTTAAGTAAAACTAATTATATGGAAATTACTTTAAAATTAATTAAAAATTATATTATACATATTACAATATATATACATATATAAAATTATAACAACAAATAAAAGATCATTTATATGTATATCAAATATTTAAAAATGCAACTTTTTTTTATTAAATTGTTCGTTAAATTAGTAAATTTTTAAGCCATGATCACGATCGTTGCTTTAAAGAGTTATGAATAGAAATAAGTGATCACTGATCACTTTTATCTTCCATTAAAATTCGATTCTGGAGAGAAAACATAAAATCTCAGTTAGTATGGAAACTAAAGACTTTAGAGTTAAATAGGTGTGGAGAAAGAATGGTCAGCGAATCGAAAAACTTTGTAAACCTTGCCGAACCATTTTGTCGCACGAATGAAGGAATTTCAACCGAATATCAACCTTATATAGATCCGTTAAGTCGAGTAGTAAATTGCTAGTGTGATCTGTGATCTGCCAGATCATACTAACATCGGACTTATTCATTCTGAGGAAGCTGTACGCCTTGCAATCCCAAAATCCAAAGGGTATCTTCACCTCTTCTGGATGTCGGAAATTATGATAGAAAGGACATCCGTCTACAAGCTATTATTGTGATTAGGAAGACGGTTGTTGTTGTAATAATCTAGTTGGGGTATTCTACATCAATTTCCAGGCCTAAAAATTGGCCTACTTCAACTGGATGCGTCCATAAATCCATTAGACAAAGTGAAGTAGGGTTGGCTGAGCAGTTGAATATGTGGTGAGTGTCATGATGAGCTTGACCACATGCAGGACATTCGTTGGGGACCGAACCATTTTGTCGCACGAATGGAGGAATTTCAACCGAATATCAACCTTATATAGATCCGTTAAGTCGAGTAGTAAATTGCTAGTGTGATTTGTGATCTGCCAGATCATACTAACATCGGACTTATTCATTCTGAGGAAGCTGTACGCCTTGCAATCCCAAAATCCAAAGGGTATCTTCACCCCTTCTGGATGTCGGAAATTATCATAGAAAGGACATCCGCCTACAAGCTATTATTGTGATTAGGAAGACGGTTGTTGTTGTAATAATCTAATTGGGGTGTTCTACATCAATTTCCAGTCCTAAAAATTGGCCTACTTCAACTAGATACGTCCATAAATCCATTGGACAAAGTGAAGTAGGGCTGGCTGAGCAGTTAAATATGTGGTGAGTGTCATGATGAGCTTGACTACATGCAGGACATTCGTTGGGGACGTCACGGTCTATACGTGACCAGTAGGTATTAGGCCTTTTGCTCCATCCCGATCTTAGTTGCCCACTCTGCTATGGGCGGTGGGCGACCTCCAAGTACAACATTCATACGGTATCCTGCGACCGCGGAATTTATGGCGTCTCTATGAATGTCGTATGCGAGTACTGATCTGATGGATCCTGAACATATCTGCGTATGTTCTCCTCTCATATACGAAGATCCTTCCTGACATGCCTCGGGGGAGTATCCAACTGAGTGATGTTAAAGTTGGGATGACTCCTCCGATGACATTCCAGGAGAAACTGTTTAGTCAACATGACATTGTTTTCCTTGACTGGGAGGACCTTCGTTTCCTCGTTCCGAGGTGATTTGTAGGCAGCCCGTTACTGTCCTTAGGGCGGCATTTTGGCAGCTTTGAATGTTCCTCCACTGGGTATCACGTAGCAGCATAATTATCCACTGACCAACCAATCACTTTATATGTAGCTAACAAGGTTTCTTTATCCATACCCCAAGTGCTGCCGGCTAGCGCTTTGATGATCTTGTTTCTACTTCACAGTTTGTGCGTGATTGCAGTGGCGTTAGCTGAGGGGTCATATGTGACCCCAAGATTTCTGGGTGGTGCACGGTCAGAATTTGGATTCCATCGACCAAGGGTTAGGAAGACGGTAGTATATGTATATTGGATTTGGTGTTTTCACTGTAAATCTCCTAGTTTAGAGCGATCCGTTTAACAGCAGACACCTGTATGGATTTGCCCTTCTGTAAGCAATGTTTCACAGTTCTCAACAATGTCTGTTTCAGGAATGAGATCGGTCGTGCTCTCGAACCTCTTACATTCGTTTCGATCGTGGTAATGTCCGGTAAAGTTTCTAAAACTTGGATCCAAATACACCTGAGTAACATAGACGCAGTCTACGTAGTAAGCAGATCTAAATCCATTATCGTCCGTAGGATGTTATTAATTGTAGTTCACCCCTTGTAAAAGCGATAAAATCTAAACCAAATTGTAACGATTATCTCTGTGATACCCTCCCAATTCTCCCCATATCGGTTCTTATAAAGTATTCGTTATATCAGGTGGAAAATGCGAGTGCAATCACAATAGGTACACTAGGAAAAACTATCCTAAATCTCCTAAAGGTAAACTTTCACATACTTTTACTTGATTATATATTATTTAAAGCGATTTTTTTCTTAAATATTAATTTTGTTGCAAATTGTTTAAATTAGATACTAAATAATTATTATTTACTTAGCACTTAAACATAAAATGTGTGAATTTTAGCAAATTTGTCACTTGAGTTCCGTTATACTCTTGCGATTTTCAAACAAGAATATAAAAACCGCTATTAGAAATAATATAACTAAATCATAAAGATAAATTTAAAGACAAAATAAGATAAAAAAGAAATATTATTATAAAAGATGGATGGTAGGTTAAATTGAAATTATAAGAATTTGAGGTGTTTTAAAAGAAACTTGTGAAATTTTCTCACAAAAATTAACTCTCATATTTACTTTAGGCTAAAATTTTAGCAAAAAATAGTAGAAAAATGAAGATTTTGATACTAAAAGTGGTAAAAGTTAAAGAAAAAATTAATTTTATAATTATTAAAAAAAAACAATTTCCTATCTTCCAGATCATACTTTTATTGGGCGTTAACGGAATTCGCAGTGAATGTGATGTGTGTCAAAGTACTAATTTTGTCGCCTGTCATAAGGAAAACGAATATTCGTTATGTATCAATGGTTAGTTACAGTTTAATATTTAAATTTTAAGATAGTTAAAGGAATATGTTTAATTTTTATAGGTGTGCCCACCGAAGATTTTATAACATGTCCTGAAAATTATGTTTGCACTCCCGATCCTTATGTTTGTTATCCCCTGCCTGAGGCCAAACCCAGTTGTGTGCGCCACACCCATTTGTGTGGTGTTTGTAGTGAGAATAAGGTATATGCTTGTATAAATGAGACAACAATTGCCTTTTGCTATGGCGAAGATAAACCTGTCGAAGGTGCCGATGTTTCCTATTGTTTGGGAGATACTGTATGCGATATTTATAGTACAAAAGGATTTTGTACTGAAAGTTATTTGGCTAAGGTATATATGTTTCGGAGGGGAAGTATTGATTTAATATTTGATTAAAAATTTAATTAAAATCTTTCAGCCAAGTTGTGTAACGAATCCAAATGATTATGATTACGATGATCCGGTAACAGTAACCACAACTGCAGAACCAACAACGACAAGCACAACAACGGAACCAACTACTACAACTACTAAGGCAACTACAACAACGACCACTACAGAAACGACAACTACAACCACAACAACGCAGCCAACTACAACAACCACAACGACAGAACCAACTACTACAACTACTGAGGCAACTACAACCACTACGCAGCCAACTACAACGACAGAACAAACTACTACAACCACGACCACTACCGAACCGACAACTACAACCACAACAACGGAGCCAACTACAACAACCACTACGACAGAACCAACTACTACAACTACAACCACAACAACTGAGCCAACTACAACAACCACTACGACAGAACCAACTACTACAACCACAACAACGGAGCCAACAACTACTACTACAACTGAACCGACAACTACAACCACTACAACCACAACAACTGAGCCAACTACGACAACCACAACAACTGAGCCAACTACGACAACCACAACTACAGAATCAACTACTACAACCACAACTACCGAACCAACTACTACAACCACAACTACTGAATCAACTACTACTACTACTACAGAACCGACAACAACGAGCACAACAACAACTAAACCCTCTGGTCCCGTTGATCCGGAAGTTTTTTGCAAAGATGCCGCAACAACTGGTTCATTTTATGCAGGCGATCCAAAATGCACTACGTAAGTACACATAATATACACATTTTGTGAAAAGGACTTTACAATTAGGGTTTTTGATGTGACGATCTTGTATTTTGTTGATCTTGTATTTGGAAAATATACTGCTGATCTTTAATACGACTGTTATATTTAATTTTTTTACAGTTTCGTTTTGTGCTACGAGATGAGCAAAACAATTCATGGAATGATTAAGAAATGTCCAAGTAATCAATATTTTCCACCGGGTGCAGATAAGTGCTCATCGCATAAGCCAGATATTTGTGTATAGTAATATTAGCATTATATATGATTAAATATATTAAATAAAAGAAGTCTAATTGCATGCAATTTCTTTTGTTGTATAATTTATTTATTGTAATAGAATGGGTCAATTGTGGTCCGATCTTCACAAAATTTAGTGGATAAATTTTGGATCCTATAAAATCCGTTAGTGTGGAATTTTATTTGTATTTTTAGCCAGTTATGAGTTATAATTTATTTTATTTTTAAGCTACTTACTTGTATTTTTAACCAACTATTGTCATAACTACATTTTCTGAATGGGCCAATATAAGTATGCGGGAGTAGGCTCAATTATGAGCCGATTCTTAAAAAATTTATTAGAGAGTTTTTTGTTCTTATACAATTTTCGTCTATTTAATGTTTATTAAGCCAGTTATGAGTGTTAAAGTAATTTTTTGGAAGTGATCTTATATGGTGGGTTAGTTCAATTATGAATCATTTTCTGAAGGAGGTAAATAATGAACCGATCATTATAACATTTGATAGAGAGATTGTTGATCTTATAATACTTGTTCATGTCAAGTTTCTCTATACTACAATTAAGAAATTTATGATCGTTAAGGTAATTTTCTGAAGGGGATCTTAAATGGGGGTAAGGTTTATTAAGGCCATATATCCCCCTTATATCACACTTTATTTTCTATATGCATAGAACTAACTTGTGAAAACTTTTATCGCGATTAATGCCGAATTAACATATTTATGACTCTTTAAACGGTATTCCGGAAAATCACTTGTATAGGGGCTAGGTGAAATCGTAGACAGATATTGTACAATCAGTGTATAAACCTTATCAATAGACCATAACAAATTTAACTCTATAACTCATCCCGTGTGATCTCTATCGTGCCTTTATTATTCTTTATTATCAGTTTTATACATTTTTAATTGTTTTGAAAGGAAGTAAAACAACATTACAACAACATAAAGATTTACAATCTCGCAAACTTTTCTCTCAGGAAATATATAAATAACAAAATTCACATTTGATTACATTTTAATACACTCATGCGAATACATATGTATACCCAGCAAAAACTTCATTATAAAGCTATTATAAGTCACTAATTACTCATTGGAGTTTTAACTCATTATTTTTAAACATCAATGTCATTGGAGCAACTGCTTACCTTACCAACTCACTTACAAATATTATTATTACAGGGAGTTACATACCAAAAATATTGAAAAGAAATCGAATCTGGGTCTCGTGTTAGTCCACTATTGTACTTATTATATAAAATGTTTATTATTGTATGTAAGTCATTATTAGAGTACTTAAAAGTAATGCAGGTATGATGTAGTCATTGTTTAAGTACACGGCATTACCAAGTTTTTGTTGGGTTAACAAACAAGAGTTAATAAAATATCTTATTTGGTAGTCGGATCAAAATTTCTAAGGGAAAAGCAGAAAGATAGATTTATTAACTTCTATGCTAAATGACTATAATTATCTGATGTGTTAAAAGATATGACATATTTCAAAAGTGATAATGAAATTGAATTTGTTTTTATTTTTTACTTAGAATTTTATAGTAAGTGACCCTGTTGGAAATGATAAAAAAATATTAAAATTATAATTAATGAACAGGAAAGTATCCTAGAGATATTAATAATAAATTAGATAATCGGACCAACAGTTGCAATCTAAATATATATCTTATTTATTAATGAAATATCGGGTTGAAATTGTATCTAGTTCATTGATTTATTAATCAAAGGAATAACTTTCAGATAAAACGATAAAAAACCCCAGTGTTGATACCATCTATAAATGTCTATATAAATATTGCACATTTACAAATCTGTATATAATTTTAACAGTCCGAAATGTATTGATTATAGAGCAATCATTATAAAATATTTGAAATTTATTTTTATGTACCTACCAGAAAGTTGACCCTTACTCCCATATAAGAACCTTTTTGCTAAAATATCTTCTTAAATCGTCTTAAAAATACCAGTGTTTGAATGAAATTCTATCCAAAACCTCTTTGCTCGATGGAGTAAATCACCGAAAATGACCTCTTTCGAAAACCCTTCCGATGTTTACATTATAAATTGATATATGATAATACAGATAATCATATAAATCTAATAAATTAGTAAATCGTGTTAATAGTTTCTAACTAGATCGAAAAAGACGTATGTCTATATATTGGGACACTCCTATTTTTTATAATTTTGAAGATCATTTAATGAAATTTAAGACAAACGCTTTTTTGGGCCAAGAGAAGTCCGTTAAAAATTGTTGAAATCTTTTAAAAACACTTGTATTACCATAAAATTTATATGTAACTAACATTTATATAAATATATTTTAATGGGATCGGCCCATATTTTATCTCACTCCGAAAATAAGAGACATATTTGAAATATGACGGGTGTTTTGTAGACCTCAGTTCAAAAAATCCCTATTTTGGATTATGTCAGTCCTGTAGTAAATGAGCGATATGTATATTCTGCATACTTAGGGATAGCGGAGTGGATTAAGCTATGTCCCTCTATCTGTATGTTTGTATTTTATCCCAGTAATTCTATGAGACATAAGTACTTTCGAGAAGTTTTCAGAAATATAAAAGTATTCATTGATCGATCCATATTTGGCAATATAGCAGGCATATAAGGTACAATTGCTAAAAACGTTTAATCGTAAATAAATAAAATATCGGTATTGTATATATATATACAAATCATACAGCGCCATACTTTCCAGATCGGTCCATAATAAGTCATAGCTCCCTTATATCCGAAAATCACTTCAGCGCACAATATTCAATTCAAATTTTTGGAAAGATTAATCACTACGTTTAGAAATGATTAATGTATGGATTTTAGTTTGAATTTCTTTATATACGTAGTCACTTAACAATTCACCCACCAATTTTGGCACCAAAGTTTTCTTGGCATTGAAATTTTACGCATTTCATATACATACATATTAATATCGTGCGAAATTTCGTGTAAATCATAAAGATAAATCGTAAGATAACTAATGAAAACTATTATAAAAGACAGTTCGGGCGTTAAAATATGAATTAGAATAATCTGAGATACCATTAAAGAAACTTTTAAACAAATTTAGCACAAATTTTCAACTCGAAATATAGAATTTTAGAAAAAAAAAATGAAAATCATAATTAAACAATTGGTAAAAATCTTGTAAATAATTTTAAAAAATACGATCAAATTAATGTATTACTTAAGTTTCTTTTAGTGATTTGTGTGGCCTGTGTTCAGACTGATTGTGATGTGTGTCAAAGTTCAAATAATGTGGCGTGTCATAAGGAAAATGTATTTTCTTTATGTATTAATGGTAATTTAAGGATATTTATTGTTAATCACATTAGAAATTAAATATCTTTTAAATTATAAGGCATACCTACCGAAGATTTCATAACATGTCCCGAAAATCATGTTTGCACGGCCGATCCTAAAGTCTGTTACCCCCTGCCCGAGGCTAAACCTACATGTGTTCGCGATTCAAATCAGTGTGGTGTTTGTAGCAAGAATAAAGTCTATGCTTGTATAAATGAGACAACAATTGCTTTTTGCTATGGCGCAGATCAACCTGTCGAAGGTGCCGATGTCTCATATTGTCTGGGTGATACCGTTTGTGATATTTATAGTGAAGATGGTTTCTGTACAGAAAGTCGTCTTAGCAAGGTATGTATGTTTAGAAATGGAATTTTTGGCAAAGAAGAATACATACATATATATAGGACCCATAACTAGTAGTTGTTGAAAAAAGGTTTAATACAAATTGTGATATTTTTATTAATTTCTAGCCAAGTTGTGTTATAAATGATGATACAACAACAGAAACCTCCAACACAGAGTCAACACCCCCGACCACAGAACCATCTACCACATCGACAGATTCTATAACTGAAACTACAGATCCTACAACCATAACTACCGAGTCTATAATCACTACTACAGAGATACCAACTACAACAACATCACCAGCACCAACAGTTCCATCTACACCTCGCGATCCTGATACTATTTGTAAAGATGCTGCTACAACTGGTTCCTATTATGCAGATGATCCCACTTGTACTACGTAAGTAACACAGTTAGAACTGATTTTAAATATTAACATTTGTTAATCGAAAATATTGTTAACTTTGTTATTTATTGTAATTTCAGCTTCGTTGTTTGCTACCTTTCCGGAAACTCGTTAGCTGGCATAAAAAAGAACTGTAAAGCAGGTCAATATTTTCCTCCCGGTGCTAAATTTTGCGCAGCTCCTAAACCAGACTTATGCATATAACTTTATGACATACATATTTTAATTTATATTTAAGTCTAATTATTTACTAAATTATTTAGATTAATTTTACTCGAAATAAAGATACAGTACAATTATAATAAAAACTTTTTTCGGATAGTGATCGTCAGAATTACTTAGTATTGGGGATTAATAGAATGTAAATGGTGATTTTTAATGTTTTCGTATAGTTTGTTCCTTTTATACCCACCACTATATTAGGGAAGGTATTATGGGTTTGCGCTAATGTTTGTAAAACATAAATGGGTAGGACCCAGTTTTTGGGGTCCGAAAGGTACGATCGCAATTTTCAAACTTTGATGAAATTTTCCATGTGCCCGGTTTTTTGGCCAAAGAACGAAGCCTATTAAAAATGGTTGAAATCGGTTTAATATTTCATATAGACCCCATATAACCGAACCAGCCGAATAGGGCTCTTGAGCTTATAATTATACCCTACACTAACATAGTGGGGAAGTTATTATGAGTTTGTAACGCTCAGAATCACTTTCGATTAAGCCATTTTCCTCTTACCGCCCGTGTAAACCTAGTGAACAAGATACAAGATATTTTGATCAATTTTGGACCATAGTTACATGCTTTTACACCCTATTTGAAGTGGTTGCAATGGATACATTATTTTACCTAGCCGCTATACAACTGGACCTTCCGGCTTTCACATCTTAGTACTAATAGGGCTTAGCCCCTATACAAACTCCCCATTTAGTAAAAGTCTAGTTCTATTTGACATGTGTGTATAAAAATATACATTCATACATAAGTGTAAATATTTTTAAATTCTAAAATGTCTTATCATTCTTCTTTTTATAAATTTGTATTCGCATTTAGCGCCATATACGAGGTACAGCTAATAATTAATTAAAAAAAAAAAAAACTACTTAAATTTTTCAGAACTAAATTAAAGTGGTAATACTGGATCTAGTAACCAAAATAAATGATTGTACTGAATCCGAATCTAATTTCAGAATTTCGCCATCATATTAGGTTTTCGAGATATAGTATCCTACAGTTTGAAAAAATCTATATTTTCTCCATATTCGAAGTGGTTTGACAATGTTAAGTCTTCTGATAATTATAACTCTTGGCTTCAAAATAAAGGCTTAATCTCTTTTTTTATATTTTTCTATTAACATAAGGTTTGGAAAAACCTTTATAAGTAAATCACAGATCTTTTACAGATGTTGTTATATAAACTTTCTAAGGCCCATTATATAGAAAATGAATAGACCTAAACCTGTTTGATTTTTATGGATTTAGTTATTCCGCTTGTAATACATATATCTAAATATTAGTCTTAGGCCCACAACAGTATATATATATTATGGAGTCTTATAAGATTCTAAGACGATATAGCTATGTCCGTTCATCGGTTGAACTCACAATAGAGCCCAAACAAATATTATCTACCGATGTTTGTTTATCCACGATTACACTAAGCCCCTATACATGTGGCCTGAAATACATATAATTTTTACAGTCTGAAATATATTCATTATAGAGCAAATGTTATAAAATCTTTAACCCTAACCCCCATATAAGAACACCTTTACGAAATCACTATAACTGTCTAAAAACTACGAAGTTTCTTCGAACTATTTCGAAGAAATTCGATCAAAAATCCCTTTGCTCGAAAATGCCCTCTTTCTAAAACCTTTCTGATGCTTATATCATAAATTTATATATGATAATACAAATAACCTTATAATGTAATAAATTAGTAGATCGAGGTAATAGTTTCCAAATTGTCACCTTCCGAAATTATTCATAAGCTCGATTGCTTAACAAAAGCACAATTTAATTAATTTTTAACTTCTGTAAGCAAATTTTCTGTTTAGCCACGCAAAGTAGTTGCACCCAAATTATATGGAATCATATATATAATTTTAGTTATATAAAAAAGTTTTTTTATTTTGAAAACAAATTTCTTTGTATATGTTTTAATACCATAAAATCTGTTTTCAGTAATAAAAGTTTTATAAATATGAGCACGTCAATTGTAGTAGTATTGCGTAGTGGAACCTTATCAATATGTTCAAATACCTCTTACTCCCCCTAACACTTGATCCACAACTTAATCGTTCATTAATGGTCGAAATCACGTTTACAAACATACATTATGCTATTTTTGTTAACATATCTGTATAAATTTAGACCAAAATTTTTCTAACGATATGATATAAAATCAAATGTTAGTTAAATATATCCAACATTTGGATTCGTATATTTTAACTGATCGTTTCTATTGAATAAGCCAAAAAAGAAATATGAAGAAATTTATTTTGTTAATGGTAAGAACTATATTTTTTATTTAATTTTGTTTTTATATAAGAAATAATAAAATTTATTTTATTATAGTGTCTAGTTCTACTTGCCGCTTATCAGATCGAAGCAGTTTGTGATGATGACTATGATAAGATCTGTGGACAGCGTTCTATGGGAACTTTCCCTTATGATTGTGATAAATCCTGCACCAAGTAAGTTTTTTTATATTGAACTTTTAACAATGACTTAACAGTTCTTTTGTTTCGATAAAAAAAAGTGGTGAATTATTGTTTAAGTGTTAATAAAAAAGGGGTGTGACTCTAAAGAAATTGTTCTGCAAATTTAATTCGATTTTACATAAGTTTTAATAGAATTTTAATGCAAACAAGCACAAAACTATCATCACATAATAATTAACGTTATTAACGCATCCGAAGTCTATAATTTTGGAAATTTTTCTCATATTTTTGTAATTTATGGATTTTGTTTTAAATAGCAAACTTCTCGAAAACTTGTCTGATGGAATGATACAGTATTTGAATCCTACTTAAGGACATAGATATTTTAAGTTCGAAAACTATAAAAATTCAGAATATATACATACTTCATAGGGCCACAAAATCCCAAGAGTTTCTGCCATTTATCTATTTATAAACTAAAATTTAACCAAAATATTGCAAATGATTCTTTTAAATTTCCAAACAATATATTATTTCATTTATTTTCTTTGTTTTTTTCTTATTCTAGATTCATAATATGTTTTAATATGAACGATAAACCTAAGGGATTATTAAAACTTTGCCCGAGCGGACAATACTACGACAGTTCGCATAGAATATGCACTGATCACAAACCAGACTACTGTTCTTAAATTTCAACAGCCATTGTTGCAGTCGATCAACTCTAATAAGCAATACAATCCAAAGGTCTCGTCTTTTGACACTTTTGGGTAGCGGCATTAAAGTAACCATCACAATAATAAACCCAACCCAAATATTGTCCCGATAAAAGATAACAGTAGACATATCTGAAATAAAAAAGTTAAAAATAAAAAAATATTTATAAAAATTTATTAACATTTCGATAATTAGTACTTACTCTCGACATGTCGGATCGTCGGATCTAAAATAACCCGTTTTACCAATTTCTCCACAAATTGTATTGGGATCACGTGGTTTTATTGTAGTGGGGGGTTTTGGGGTTGTGGACGTTGTGCTAAGTTCAGTTGTTGTTTCTGTTGTAGATTCCGTTTCTTGTGTTGTGGTCATGGTTGTGGAATCTGTTGTCATTTCCGTTGTACTTGTTGTTTGGTCATTTGTTGTTGATTCTGTGGTCATTTCCGTTGTTGAGTCTGTTGTAATAAGTGTTGTTGAATCATCCGTTGTGGACTCGCTGGGTATTATACTGATTTCTGTTGTAATTGTTGTAGTTGGAGTTGTTGAAGGTGTATTAATAGCGCATGATGGCTGAAAAAGAAAGTACATAGTAGGATTTTATACAATCTATTAATATATCTATCTATCTATCTATCTATCTATCTATCTATCTATCTAGCGAGCGAGCGAGCGAGCGAGCGAGCGAGCGAGGAGCGAGCGAGCGAGCGAGCGAGCAGCGAGGAGGAGCGAGCGACGAGCGAGCGAGCGAGCAGCGAGCGAGCGAGCGAGAGCGAGCGAGCGAGCGAGCGAGCGAGCGAGCGAGCGAGCGAGCGAGCGAGCGAGCGAGCGAGCGAGCGAGCGAGCGAGCGAGCGAGCGAGCGAGCGAGCGAGAGAGCGAGCGAGCGAGCGAGCGAGCGAGCGAGCGAGCGAGCGAGGAGCGAGCGAGCGAGCGAGCGAGCGAGCGAGCGAGCGAGCGAGCGAGCGAGCGAGCGAGCGAGCGAGCGAGCGAGCGAGCGAGCGAGGAGCGAGCGAGCGAGCGAGCGAGCGAGCGAGCGAGCGAGCGAGCGAGCGAGCGAGAGACGAGCGAGCGAGCGAGCGAGCGAGCGAGCGAGCGAGCGAGCGAGCGAGAGCGAGCGAGCGAGCGAGAGCGAGCGAGCGAGCGAGCGAGCGAGCGAGCGAGAGAGAGCGAGCGAGCGAGCGAGAGAGCGAGCGAGCGAGCGAGCGAGCGAGCGAGAGAGCGAGCGAGCGAGCGAGGAGAGCGAGCGAGCGAGCGAGCGAGCAGCGAGCGAGCGAGCGAGCGAGCGAGCGAGCGAGCGAGCGAGCGAGCGAGCGAGCGAGCGAGGAGCGAGCGAGCGAGCGAGCGAGCGAGCGAGAGAGCGAGCGAGCGAGCGAGCGAGCGAGCGAGCGAGCGAGCGAGCGAGCGAGCGAGCGAGCGAGCGAGAGAGCGAGCGAGCGAGCGAGCGAGCGAGAGAGCGAGAGAGCGAGCGAGAGAGCGAGCGAGCGAGCGAGCGAGCGAGCGAGCGAGCGAGCGAGCGAGCGAGCGAGCGAGCGAGCGAGGAGCGAGCGAGCGAGCGAGCGAGCGAGCGAGCGAGCGAGCGAGCGAGAGCGAGCGAGCGAGCGAGCGAGCGAGCGAGAGAGAGCGAGGAGCGAGCGGAGCGAGCGAGCGAGCGAGCGAGCGAGCGAGCGAGCGAGCGAGCGAGCGAGCGAGCGAGCGAGGAGCGAGCGAGCGAGCGAGCGAGCGAGCGAGCGAGCGAGCGAGCGAGCGAGCGAGGAGCGAGCGAGCGAGCGAGCGAGCGAGCGAAGCGAGCGAGCGAGCGAGCGAGCGAGCGAGCGAGGAGCGAGCGAGCGAGCGAGCGAGCGAGCGAGCGAGCGAGCGAGAGCGAGCGAGCGAGCGAGCGAGCGAGCGAGCGAGCGAGCGAGCGAGCGAGCGAGCGAGCGAGCAGCGAGCGAGCGAGCAGCGAGCGAGCGAGCGAGCGAGCGAGCGAGCGAGAGCGAGCGAGCGAGCGAGCGAGCGAGCGAGCGAGCGAGCGAGCGAGCGAGCGAGCGACGAGCGAGCGAGCGAGCGAGCGAGCGAGATCGAGCGAGAGCGAGCGAGCGAGGCGAGCGAGCGAGCGAGCGAGCGAGCGAGCGAGCGAGCGCGAGCGAGCGAGCGAGCGAGAGCGAGCGAGCGAGCGAGCGAGCGAGCGAGAGAGCGAGCGAGCGAGCGAGCGAGCGAGCGAGCGAGCGAGCGAGCGAGCGAGCGAGCGAGCGAGCGAGCGAGCGAGCGAGCGAGCGAGCGAGGAGCGAGCGAGCGAGCGAGCGAGCGAGCGAGCGAGCGAGCGAGCGAGCGAGCGAGCGAGCGAGCGAGCGAGCGAGCGAGCGAGCGAGAGCGAGCGAGAGCGAGCGAGGGAGAGCGAGCGAGCGATCGAGCGAGCGAGCGAGCGATCGAGCGAGCGAGCGAGCGAGCGAGCGAGCGAGCGAGCGAGCGATCGAGTATCTATATATCTATCTATCTATCTATCTACATCTATCTATATCTATCTATCTATCATCTATCTATCTATCTATATATCTATCTATCTATCTATCTATCTATCTCTATCTATCTATCTATCTATGACTCAGAGAATTATATTATACATTCATATTTACCTCATGCGTCTCCTCCGGCACACAAACTTCTCGAAAATTATAATTACAAACATAACCCTTCGGGCAGGAACGTAAGGAACCCTTTAAAGGAGTATTAGCACCAAAACAATAACCATAAGTAGTCTCATCTAGACAAGAAAAAATCCCATTAGTAGCCTCACAATCATTACAATTATCATGATGACAAATGGGTGAAAAACCCTCCGTTGAAGAATGACATATAAGGACATCGTCTGTACAAAAGCGATTGGCGGGACATTTTGTTATAGTAGAAGTGGGTGAGCCCTGGAAGCAAGTGGCAAAATGTGTTTCATCCAAACAGGCAATATTATTGCTGGCAAAACATTGATTACAAGTGCCCACTAAAGAGGTAACTCCCAATTTAACAACAGCCAAGAGAATCTATAAGAAAAAGTTTTAAAGTTGTTTTTAACATTTAAATTTTTTTTAAGTTTTAATTTATTATTTACTTACTATAATTGTTTTTAATATTTTATGGATAATTAACATTTTTATTGTTGTACTTTAATAAATTTTCTGCTTGTTTTTAACTTTTTTCAATGTTTTTGATGATTTTTTTTTTAATTTTTCTTAGTAATTTATTGTAAATTTTAATAACTTCCCCAACACGTTCCGTCTAATCTCTTTAACAAACTGATGAATAATATTTATTCTAAAGTTTCGAGATTTTTAAGAATTATTTTACCAAAATTCTTAACAAATATGTTTATTAACCGTTAATAAAGATAAAAAGTAATATAAAAATAAATGTTTTGTTATTATTCTTTTTTTTAAGATATATTTCAGCGAAAGTTACTAAATAAATAGTTTATATTTGATATACAGTTAGTCTAAGCAAATAAAACACTTTTAGAAGTTGTAGTTGATTAGGTTTTGGTGGTATATAAGTAAATATTACTTAGCATGCTTTTGTAATTAATAATATATTTGCATTTGACATTAGTTTTTAACACAATCTGTCACTTGATTTCATTCATACACTAATATTTTCTATAAAACCCAGTAGGAAATAGTCCCAGTAAGAATAGTTATAGAACCTTTGAAATACTGATGCTATCTGCCAAAATCTTGATAAAACAGATGCTGAATTCGTTAACCAATGAAAAATTACCTTAAATTTTATTCAAACCCTTTAAAATTTAAATATTTCCTTTTTTTTCTTTCTTTTTTTATTTTTTTTTTTATAATAAAATCATTTTTATTTTATTTTAACAAAAAGCACATTTATAACTCACATTGATTATTATAGTTTTTTTTTTTCTTGTTGATATTGTTTTCATTTCTTCTTATATTGTTTTTTACAAATAAATTAAAACTAAAAAAATAATTAGCAAAAAAATAATATTGGAAATTTGAATGAGAAAAGTTTAAACAAAAATAAATTAAAATTTAAACTTAAAAGAAAAAACAAATGCACTTAACTAAACTATACAAATAAATTTAGGTTTTAAAATAAATTTTTAAAAACTTTTATTTAACTCTACACATAAGTAATAATAATAAGAAAATAATTAATTAAAAGAATTATTTATTGCTGTAAACATTATTAAAATAAAAATGTGTCAATATTTTATTATTATTAAATGAATAATGAATAAAAACTTAAATAAGCTTAAGTTATATAGAAATAATTCATAATAATGGTTTTAAAATTTAATTTTAAAAATTAAATAATGATAAAATTATAATAATATAGTTAGCAGGTGAAGGAGAGTTTTATGGTGAGAGTGAAAGAAATAGAGAGAGAAAGAAAGTGAGAGAAGATTTAACATGAACTGAAATCGAGCTATCAATATTATTTTAAATAACAATCAGGGCTGGTAACGTTAGTACTATTTAACTTTATAATACTTTTTGACTGAAAAATACAACTGCATATTAAGTACTTTTTCTGTAGTATAAACTTTTGTTATTGTGTCCATAGATTTAGTCAATAGATTAGTCCATAAACAAGCCAGTAGGCTAGGCAATAGATTAGACAACGAGCTAGCCAAAGAAATAGTCCACAGACTATTTCATAGGCAAGAACCTTGACTAGTCCTTAAATTACTTCGATATCGTTCAGTATACTAGACCAAGGACCAGCACATAGATTATTCTCTAAACTAGTCCAGTGATTTCTTCCTCGAGTTGGGTTAGTTACTGAATTAGCCCATAGATTAGTCCCTAGAGTAATCCATAGACTAGTAAATAGACTACATCTTAGAAAAGTCCTTAGACTAGTACCAAGACTAGTCCCCAGACTTGTCCATAGAATAGTATATAGAATAATTCATATACTAGTTTATTAACTAGTACAAAGACTAGTCTATAGAAAAGTCTGTTGACTACTCCATAGAATAGTTCATAGACTAGTGAATAGAGCATAGACTAGTCCATAGAATTGTTACTAGACTAGACCTACAAAAATTGAGACTACCCCGCACAAGCGTGTTAAGAGTACTAATAAAGGGACTAAGACTGGTCCAAATATGTGGAAAAAACATACTCCATTTAACATTGTGATGTTCTAGTTGAGGATCGCGTCATCCATATATGAATTACATCAGAGTAATCTCAAAACTACTTTCTTGCTAAAATGACATGAACTACAGAGCCGCAAAATGGTTTCATGTTATGCTGGCTATGGACCATGTTGTTTTAAAAAAAATAAACATAATCCATGCCTGCATAACATAGGACCTCCTAACGGATCATGTACTCCAATCAAGGGGAGTAGTTATGGGATTAACTGAATGGATCATGTACACTAATAATTGAGGGAATCTATACATTGGTCCCTAGACTACTTCATAGGCTAGTGCATAGTCTAGTTCCTAGACTAGACTACTCATTAGAATAGTCCATATAATAGTGCATAGAATAGTCTTTAAACTATCCCCTAGACTGGTCCCTAGAGTATTCCATAGAATCGTTACTGGACCAGTCTATAAATTGGTCCCTAGACTGGTCGATAGATTTGTCCCTAGTATAGTCCATATACTGGTCCGTAGAATAGTTCAAGTAACTAGACTATTGTATAAACTTGTCCCTAGACTTGTGTATAGACTAAATCCTAAACTAGTATATAGATTTGTCTCTAGACTATACCCTTTAAGTCGAAAAACTAGTCCATATAATCGCCCCTATACTTGTTCATAGATTGGTAGCTAGACTAGTCCACAAATGTTTCTTACACTATTTCATAAACTGATCCATAGACTAGTCCATAGATTGGTCCGTAGACTGGTACATAGACTAGTCCATAGACTAGGTCATAGACTAATCCATAGACTGATTCATAGACTGGTCAATATACTAGTCCATAGAATAATTAAAAACCTAGTGATTGAACTATTGTATAAACTAGTTCTTGAACTATGTATGTACTTGTCCCCTACTAAACTTCTAGAATGGTTATTTTCAGGGTCTAAACTTACAGGTTTTTAAAGATTGTTTTGAAATTCCACCTCTCTCTCTCTATCTCTCTCAAAAATAGTTAATTTAGATTTTTAATACAAACATATTCTTTTAACTTTCAAGAAAATAATAATAATTAAATGAATTAAAATATAAATAAAACCAAATTACAATATTTCTGTAACTAAAAGTGTCTGCACTAATATATATTAAAAAAAATAATAATAAATGTATTATATGTAAAAGTAATACGATAATAATAAGAATAAAAAATAAATGTTTTTTTCATTTAAATGTATTTAAATTGTTTTAATATTTTTCTTCTTTTTTTATTTTATTTATAAATTTAAACAAACAAATAAAAATATATATAGAGATATAAATATAAATATATGCATTTTATGTATGTAAAAGTGTATGTATGTATGTGTGGTTTTATGTATGTATATAAATTTCAATGAATGATTTATGTTTTCATTTGTTTTATTAATTTAATTATTTTAATATATAATTTTTTAAATCATTACATTTTCTTTAAATAAGTTTTACTTTGTTTTATTCTCTGTTGTTGTTGTTTTTTTTTTCTATTTACTTAAAAAATAATTTAAATTTAATGTTTAACACCAACTTATATAAAAATTTTAAACTTTTATTATTTGTTTCAGTTTTTCAATTTATTAATAATAATAATAATAATTTTATAAATTTATTTAAAATAATAAAAATCATTTAAACATATATAAAGATTTGTTAAAGGAGCAGCGTTTTCTTTTTCCTTTTCTTTTAAATTTCGTTTACTTGATAATTTAATTTTGAAATTTGTTTTATTAATTTTTTCTTTAATATTAATATTATTATTAATTAATAATATTAATATATGTATAAGTGTTTTATTATCGTGTTTTTATTTCTTGTTTTCTATTCTCTCTGTATGTGTTAATTTAAATTATTTAATTAAGTGAATTTCATTTACTTAATTTACTTATAACTCTAATTAGCGCTCCATTCTCTTCTTTAAGGCGTAGATTTTCCGCTTTGTAAGCATCCAGTTGCTAAATTAAAAGAAATAGAAAAGAAAAATAATTAAATTAATATAATTAATTAATTTATTATAAATATTAATTCAAACTCAATACATTCCAAAACAAAATATTTAAAATTATTATTTATTTAATTAAAGCGCAGTTTTCTTTTCAGCAAAGTGTTTTGCAAGAAAATTGAATATTGAACAAATATAGACGTTGATTATGTATATATGATAAAGTTCTTAAACCGATTACTGACATTTTGTTAAAAAAATATGAATTGGTACCGAATTAGCATTCAATTAACCCATTCATAATCGAATGAACTTTTACTCATACTGGTCAATAGTCTACAAAATAGGCCATAACATACTCTAATATAGTCCATAAACAACTATATAGTTTAGTCCCTAGACTAATCTTAAGTCTAGTCAAGAGACTAGTTTATAAACTTCCATAGTCTAATAAATAGTTAGTTTAAATGCTTGTCAATAGACTAGTTAATAGACTGGTCAATAGGTTGATCAATATGTTGGTCAATAGTCGAGTCAATAGAGAAGTCCATAGTCTTGTCAATAGATTAATCAATAGTCTAGTCAATAAACTATTCCTTAGTCGAGTCAATAGACTAGTCAAAAGACTAGGTCCTGGACTGGTCAAAAGTCTAGTCCCTAGACTCGTCAAAAGACCAGTCAAAATATTAGTCCATAGACTAGCATATTTTATAGATTAGCGCATAGTCCACAGTCTAGTCAATAGAATAGTCCATAGTCTAGTCAATAGACTAGTCCATAGTCTAGTCGATAGACTAGTCTCTAAACTAGTCAGTAGACTGGTCCATAGACTTTTCAATAGACTTATTAACTGACTAGTTTAATGATTTGACTATGGCCTAATTAGTCCATAATCTACTTCATAGTTTATTCTATAGAATAGTCCATAGTCTTATCAACAGATTAGACCATAGTCTAGTCAATAGACTAGTCAAAAGACTAGTTCCTGGACTGGTCAAAAGACTAGTCCCTAGACTCATCAAAAGACCAGGCATAGACCAGTTTATAGTCTATTTTATAGTCCAAAGACTAGTCGATAGTCTTATCAATAGATTAGTCCATAGTCTAGTCAATAGACTAGTTCATAGTGTAGTCCATAGTCTAGTCAATAGACTAATCCATAGTCTAGTCAATAGACTAGTACATAGTCTAGTCAATAGACTAGTCCATAGTCTAGTCAATAGACTAGTCCATAGTCTAGTCAATAGACTAGTCCATAGTCTAGTCAATAGACTAGTCCATAGTCTAGTCAATAGGCTAGTCCATAGTCTAGTCTAATCCATAGTCTAGTCAATAGAATAGTTCATAGTCTAGTCAATAGACTAATCCATAGTCTACTTAATAGACTAGTTCATAGTCTAGTCAATAGACTAGTCCATAGTCTAGTCAATAGACTAGTCCATAGTCTAGTCAATAGACTAGTCCATAGTCTAGTCAATAGAATAGTCCATAGTCTAGTCCATAGTCTAGTCAATAGAATAGTCCATTGATTAGTCCATAGACCAGTCAGTAGACTAGTCCATAGACCAGTTAGTAGACTAGTCAATAGAATAGTGCATAAACTAGTTAATAGACTTGGGCATATACTAGTATAGCCTAGTTTATTGATTAAACTATGACCTATGGTTTAGCCAATAGACTAGTCCATAGAATAGTCAATGGTCTAGTCAATAGACTAGTCCATTGATTAGTCCATAGACCAGTCAATACACTAGTCCATAGACTAGTCAATAGACCAGTCAATAGACTAGTCAATAGAATAGTGCATGGGTTTGTTCATAAACTAGTCTGTAGCATAGTTTATTGATTAGATTATAGACTAATATATTGAAGATCAATGGACTAGTTTAGACTAGTCAATATAGGTAAAAACTTTTTGTCGTTCCCTAGAAAAATACAGATATCTTAAGTGACAAGTATCCAGTCATATCATGTGTATTTTATTATCTGATCAAAATGTCAGCCAACTCCGTTTAGAACTTACATATTCCGATTCCATAGAATCTTCTCACATACATACATATAATAAAATTCATATAATAATTATGTATTCACAAGTATTGTAATATATTTTAATAAATTTATTAAAACATCGATATTAAAAACAAACTGAAATTAAATCAATCATTGTTTATCATTATTTTCATCGTGTCACATCACATTTAAAGAAAAATATTGTATATACACATCAATTGAAGTAATTAAATTCATGTTATGTCATGCTAAAATTTCATGCAAAAATAATAAATTAGAAAATTAAATGTAAACGAAAAATAGTTAAATAATAAATTTTGAAAATTGTAAATTTTAGTTTTATTATACTCTCTGAACAGTTAATTGATTTATGAAAAGACAAAATGTTTAATTTAAATGCATTATGATTTGCAATGATTTGCAAATGTACGATATGCGCGTGGGGGTGGGTGGGTATGTTTATAATATTTAAATGATTAAAATTGATTTAATGGGTGAATATTAATTAATTAAGAGCAAATGTTACAAATTAATGTAAATATGATTTGAAATAAATTTCAAAAATTACAATTTGAAAGGACCTATCGCTTTGTTAGACTAAGTTGGTATAATTTGTTTAACCTTAAATAAACACATACAGGTCGCAGCTCCAACAATTACTTGTTATGAAGAGGAAGTATCCGCTCCTTCATTGACATCAAAAAGTATCTGGCGATATTCAATAATAAAAGCTTACTTTCAAGGATATCGGTAAACTGATCAGTACCAGACTAGAATCTAAAAACTACAAAAAATTATTCAACTCACTGTGATCTAAATAACTTAGACATGTTATCGCTATTGATGGAATTCTACCCGGAAAATTGGGTAAAAATGGGTATATACCCGGTTATTTAAAGCTTTTCCCATCTCTAATCTCCAATATTCAATAATTCACATTATATTTGAAAGTTTTCATCGAATAGCAAAACCAACCCTATAGGAAGTAAAATTTTTCATGAAATATGTCCATAGTCTAGTAAATAGACTAGTCCGTAAGTTTTCCTCTGTTTAGTATTTTTGGCCGTAGAATTTGGAAACCTTTCACAGATGTTACGTATAGGATCGAGTGGATGAACAGGACAAGTCATAATGCTCTATATTAGAACGTCCACGAACATTACGACACACCATCGATATGTAGTCTATGAGTATGGTAACACAAAAACCATGAGTTCAAAACACATGCGTCCTGCCAAATAAGGACATTTTTTTACAAATCTGTGAACCCTAGTTAAGATAACCTTCCTCACTGTCAATTGCTTAAAACCTAATCAAATATTCTCATACTTAAGGTCATAGAATATTATCCACATAAAATTTTATTTTTCGAGTTAGGGGTAAAAACGTTGCGCTAAAGTTTGTCCTAGAGTTGGGTAATTGTTTAATGAACACGGACCAGGGATTGTTAGCTCAGCAACACCGAAATAATATGTTATTAGTATTATTAATTTATGCTAATTGATCCATAGACTAGTCAATATATTAGTCCATAGGCTAACTAAAAATCTTGTCTATGATCTAGACTATGAACAATTCCATAGACTATAGTTCAAGTCTACAGACAGACACATAGACAGAAACATTTAGTCTATTAGCTAGACGCTTGCCTATAAACTTATTAATTAACTAATCCACTTAGTCTGCTTCGTTTACTATTCTATAGACTAGTCAATAGACTAGAAGTATTTCAAATAGACTAGCAGCCACGCCCTTGTATGTGGGCGTGTATTAAATATCGCATATCTCAGGAACGGCAACACCTAGAGTCCTCAAATTTTATATAAACTTTCACATTCATATGAATTTTTGTAGACAAAATAGGCGGCCTAGGTACAGTGGGCGTGTAACCTACCATATAAGGAACATTTTAAATTAGAATACATGAAAAAATATAACACCTAGAGTTCTGAATTTTGTGAATATTTGTTTGGGATCATTACGAAAGTTGACAAGGTCCTCAAGGCTTGTATAAAACTTAGTTGAGACACTTTTCAGTTGAGACACTTTTCATTGTGTTACAAGTATATTTAACATAATAATGAATTCAAACGACTTTTTCGGGAGGTTCATTAGTATGGGAGCTAGGTGAAATAATGGACCGATTTTAAAAATTTTCAAAAGGCTTCGTCTTTAGGTCAAAAAACCGCATGTACCAAGCTTTACATGGACACCCTGCCAGGCAGACGGACATGGCTTAATCGACTCCGAAAATGATTTTAAGTCGAATATACCCCTTCCCACTAAAGTGGTTTAGGGTATAAAAATGGGCGTATTTGCAATAGGGGGTGTGGCACCTAACAACTGAATTAAATACAAAAAAAAACGTATATCATAGAAACTTGTAGCTAGAATATCCATATTTTGCATGAACAACTTTGGCATCCATGAATAATTGTCGCAGTTGCAAATAGGGGCGTGGCCCTTCCATGTGAATTAAATACTAAAATTGTTATATCTGAGAAATTACTAGAGCCAGAATTCCAAAATTTTGCACAAATGACTTTGACATCTATAAGTACACTTGGATAAAAATCGTTTACAAGGCACCTACCATCGTAATTAAATACCAAAACTATTACATGTAGAATCTTGATCCAATACATTTTCATTATAAACTAAACTTACTTTCTAATTGTAAGTGCATTGTGTTTAAAAATTTTGAAAATTATAACATTTAGACCAATTTTAATAATACAGGCCGACAAATTTTTAATCCAGAAACCAATGTTTACTTTTCTAAAGGATTGAGCGTTTACTCAAATTTCAGGACACGATATCTCAAATTCTAGATGCAATGGAGAAAATCAGATTCGGTTTCAGCGCCGCTCAATCCTTTACAAACGTCTAACTTGGGTTTCGACTTTTTTCATATCTTGTCGGCCTGTGCAATTTAACATTTTCAATTTACATAAAAAGAGATTTCGAAAAGTTAGGAGTAATAAACTCATTCCAAAAACT